GATTAATATATACCTGCTTCTAAGACCTGGACCTGGAAGACAGTACATCTCTTTTGAAACTGTGAGGTCAACAGTAATCCCAAAGCCTTTCTTACTTTCCCTCAGATGCTTCCTTTAACATTCACTGCAGAGGATTATGCCTGGGAGATCTAGGCCCAGATGCCTGCCTGTACTCTCAGCCTTTGGGTGTTAATAAAGCATTCTCTTGCTTTCATGTGTTGCAAAGGCATGTCACTAGAAGTTTGCAACTTGAAGTGGGGGTATGGCCTTTGATGCTGGAGTTGTCTACTTTTATCCTGATGAACGGCAGAGGACTGCAGGTTCTTTTCTATAAGCTATGTTTTGTTTTATATTTCTGCTACCCTCTGATCTCTTTCTTTATTTTCCTGAGTGTATTTATAAGTATCTAGATATATAGATCTATAGATTTATTGGTCTCTAGAGTGTATGTATATACTCATCTTCTAGGTGTATTGGATTTAAATCAGCTGGGTTGTAGTTGGAGGCATGAGTTCATTCATCCAACATTAGTTCTGTTCTTATTTTGTTTTATTCCTCCTGGAAACAATCACGTATCAGAGTCAAGAAGGATTCCAAGTGGAAGGAGGGTTTCAGCTGTACTTTACAGTTTGAAGGGGACCACTTTCAGCTGTACTTTACAGTTAGAAGGGGACCACTTTCAGCTGTACTTTACAGTTAGACAGGGACCAATCACTTCCAGTCTTATTTAGTTTTCTGACCTGAACACATTATCATGTTTTGTTTTCCTTTTCATATAGAAGTTGGCAACCACTCGTTTTCTTTCTCTTGTAGACTATAATTTAATGACATTTCTCCTTTCCCTTTCCTCCCTCTAAACCCACTGATATGCCCCTGTCCTCTCTCCTCAAATTCCAAGTCTCTTTTTTCACTAGTTCCATTCTTTTTTATTGTGTCCATGGTAGTTTCTTTGTGTTTGTGATCATAAGCATCTCCTCATGGTTTATAACACAAGAACCATACATGACAGCTCATCAGTGGCATCTGTTGACAAAACCTCAGATGAAGTTGCTTTCCCCTATTTGTCCACATTCATCCATTTGTACTAGATAAACGCCAGGTAGCAGTCATCTCTGAGAATCTAAAATTCTTAAAAAAAAAACTTTAAAAAATGAATATGTATGACTGTCCTTGTGTGGGTATGTCTATGTGATTCCAGTGCCCAGAGAAAGGTTTCAGATCTCCTGGGATTAGTTACAGGTTGTTGGGAGTTGCCTAATATGTGGGAAATGAACTCAGGTCCTCTGGAAGAGCAGTAAGTGCTATTAATCATTGAGCCACCTCTGCAGCCCAGAGAATCTTCCTCTTTTCTTGATATGGTATAAAAAGACATTGGAAACTTAGGGGGCAAGGGCAGGATAGTTGCAGTTCTGTCAAGGAGTCCACCTCTTCATATCTGCTCTTTTCTACCTTATGGACCAGTCACAATAATGTAGTTACAGTACAGTTCAGTCTTTTGGAGACTACACTGTTTATACTAATATAAATGGACAGCCACCATTGTGACTCACCAAGGTTGATGGCTCTGTTTCCTTAGGTAAAGTCAATTACATTGTGGTGTGTCCTCCCCTTCATCTCCTCCAGTGGAGTTTTACTTCCCAGAACAGTAACACACAGAAGGAGGCTCTGAGAAACCCAGAACAGCTCCTTAGAAGTTTGGTATTGTTTTCAAGATGCAATGGGGGCACATCACATTTTTTTTTGCATTTTTGTAGACATACAACCCCGTGTTAAGAAATTAGGTAGTGCACCATGAGAGAATAGTTCATAGGGGCCTGTATTTAAAACTTAGCACTCTCGTCTCAGACAGTTGCATTTTGTTGGGTGAGTTCATTACACAAAGATCAGAAGACAGACACTGAAGATGTGCAGTTGCTGGTGCTGACCTCATATTCCACATTTCATTGTAGTATACATTTTAGTGCACTCGACAGTCTGCTTATATGATTGTTGGCTTCATTATTTGATGATACACCACAGGACCTCTGGCAGGTGACGGAGTTTTCCTCTCCTGTCTCTCAGTCAGAAGGAGAGACGCCAGTTCCTAACTACTTGGTGTCCAAGTGACATTAGTAGTCAGAGCAGAGCAGTAAATGTTCTCTATTTCCTCTCCAAGGCTCTGATGGTGAGGGTATTTTTATGATTTACCGGGAGCTATTTATATGCCTTTACTTACCATTATGTTCTACGCCTTTCATGTGATGTTCAAAGCATAAAACAAAACCAACACCCCCCCCCCATGAATCTTGTTGTCTAGGCAAGCCTCTATTTCTCTTTTTTCTTTTAGAAAAATATTTCATGATAAAAACACAATATCATGTGGGTGGTAAATGAAAGGCATGCTTCCTTCTAGAAAACCACTGGCATTTACATAAACCACCAGACTGTCTGGTAGGGTGATCTGCTTCGTCAGTCTCTGGAGACCTTTAACGTTAGGTTCCTAATGCTCTTCTAGGGAATGAAAGATCTAAATTCGATGATGGTACTGGTAAAGTTCTTCAACTGTTGACAGTTGTGAAAGTCTTAAAAAAGCTAACAAACACCTGGATTGTTCCAAACACAGAAGTGACATGAGAAGCCTTGGAGGATTTTTCCCTCTGTGCTGTGCTCTATGTAGCCTGTTCAACATTTGCCTTTGGTAGTACTGAGATATGTTTAGGGTAAATATTCAAAATATACCAATTGGAGCTTTGGAAAGGAGCCCTAAAGGAGTTTCTGTGACTGTTCTTTTCTAAACATAACTGTGAGAAGACATTTGCAGCAGTAGAAACCATCTTCTTCCTTATTGTCATCGGAAGGCTGCATTTCCTGAGGTAGACACATATTTCATCCTCAGAGCAGTCTGTGAGTCTCATAGAGCTTCACGATTCTGCAAAACCCATAGGTTCACATGTGTTTCAGAATATCTAGAAGTTTAGTAAGGTAGGTGGTACATAGGAAATGCATTGTACAAATCTCCAGGTGGGCTGGAAAGGTACCTCATATGCAAGCCAATTAGATTTTTTATTTTGAAACATGATTAGTCACACTGGGTAGAAGAAATAAGAACCACAAAGACTCTCATGTTAATTCACGTCATGTCTTGTCAGTAAATGAGATAAATGAATTTCAAAATCATCTTCAGAAAACAGTTTTTTCCTCCTTAGTATTTAATATTCCTAATCTGTGGTTTAGGAAACCAGGCTGAGCCATTACAATGCCCCTTCCTAGATAAGAGGAAACAGGTCCAGAGATATCAAGTAACTTTCCCAAATGTTATATACAAGGAGCAGATCTGGGCTGTGACTGTGTGGCTGTTTGAAAGAACAGGCTAGATTTCTACTTCCTAATGTGGTGGGATGCCATGGATCTTATGTTTAAAAACCTATTCTTTAGCATCCCTGCACAAAAATCTATTTGTAGAGAATATCTTATATTTCCCTGTTTTTGTAAAAATGTCTATAATCATAAACATTACATGGAAAGATTTAGAAATATACTTACTACACTTCTCACCAAGTTTACAGGTGGGATTGGTGGGATCAGGGGAGAGTTAAGAATGTCGTCAATGCTTTTTACCTTACACATTCCTTGGTTGTTTGTATACTAAAGGATGATGACATCTATAGTAGAAGTATATCTAAAAAGGAAGTGGGTGAAAAAAGTTAGTAACAAGTAACAGATTTTTATCCCTTTTTAAATGAAAGATGATCATTTTTTAAAGATTGATTTTTATTATTTTTAATTGTGTGTGTATGTGTGTGCACATGTGTATTGTGTATTTGTGTGTGAAGATGGAGGTTTCTGTCCCGCCTGGTCCCGAAGCTGATTTGCCCCAAATAAACACACAGACGCTATATTAATTATGAGACTGTTGGCTGATGGCACAGGCTTTCTTATTGGCTAGCTCTGTCATAATTATTACCCCATTTCTATTAATCTATGTATTGCCATGAGGCTTCTTTAGCAGCATAGCATCTGTTCCCAGCCTCTATCTGACTCTCTTCCCAGCATTCTCCTCGTCTCCTACTCCTGCCTATCTTCCTGCCTCTACTGGCCAATCAATGTTTTATTCATCAACCAATAAGAGAAGCATAGATATATGAACATCCCCTATCGTGTGTGTGTGTGTGTGTGTGTGTGTGTGTGTGTGTGTGTGTGTGTGTGTATGTGTGTGTACACCTGCAGAGACCAGAGGTATCAGATCCTTCTGGAGCTGGAGTTACAGGCAGTTGTGTGCCTCCAATTGTAGTGTTGGGAACTGAACTCTGGTACTCTGTAAGAGCAGCACTATGGAGCTCTCTGCTCAGCTCCAGATTCTTATTCTTGTTTCAGAAAAATATAAAGAAGCTTGGTGCTGTCTTTTCTTACTATATTGTGTAGCGATCCTTTGTCCCCTTTTTATTATTCTGCATATAATACCTTGGCAGTGTTTATTCTTCTTAGTGTAGCCATTTTCCCCAAAGTTTTATCAAATAACATGTTATACAGGATGCAGGAAATTCAACCAGATACGATATCACGCCTAAGTTCAAACTTGAAGACTAAGTTCAAACTGTAAAGACTGAGACAGCAGCATGAAAGATGAGTTATGTGTGAAGGGGCCAGTGGCATTATGAATGTGATGTTCAGTTGATTAGAATGAGCACAGTCTTTAGAATGTGAGAATTAGTCTATACCCAGGCCATGTCGGAGTCTCAGCTCCAGTTTTCCATGTTGTAAACACATACAGGTGATGTGGTTTCAAATCTTACCCAGTGACACTATTCTTGTGACTTAAGCATATAATGAGAAAGCTGAAATCCAAACCCAAATAGGTACAGTTAGCAATTCAAATTGCCCAAGCTTCCAGCTCTTATGATATAATTCACTGCTCAGCAGTGATTCACCTGTCTGCTGGGGCCCTGAGTTCCTCTACCACCTCTCCATAATGTTGCTGAGGCTGCCTTACTCTCTAGCTTCTGTTTTTCTTTGTCTTGTAGAGTGGTCGTGTGAATAGGAATGCCTGCCCAAATCCTGAGACCAGAGATAATGGATGAAGATCAGTTAATGAAAGAAGTCTTGGATAAGTTTATTAATTGTCATGAGCAAACATATGAAGAATTTCTGAGCACTTTTACTCACCTTTCAAAAGGTAAAATATTGAAGTAAACTCTTTTCATATTTTCAGTGATTATTTGGGAATTGCACATCATGAACCCTGAGCAAACTCACTTCCTAGTTCTCCTAGGTCTGCCCATCCCCTCACCCTTGTGATGTCCCCACCCTACCTCCTACACCTCCCCCCAAAAAAAGAAGAAAAAGGAAAGAAAAAAATCTAATCTGTGTTGCCTATACACTCACTGGAGCATGGTCAAACTCCCAGTGGCCAGCCCCTTAAAGAAAGCTGAGTACTTCCCCTCCTGCAACCCCTGCAAGCCATCAGTTGTGGAGAGCTACATGAAGTCAACTTGTTACAGCAACAGATAAATGACTTTAAGTCTATAGCCTTGGTTTCTTTTCAGAAGACCCATGAACATTCATTCAACTCCTTAGAGCACATGATTCTTCCCAGAGACTTTGTGACTCATGGGTATAAACACCCATGTCTTTCTTAATTCAAGAGTGTGTTACAGAGTCAGAGACATTTGGTAATGACAGATGAGCCAAGAAAATATTAGCTATTCCCTTCATTTAATTTTTTTAAGTTGCTAAAAGCACATTTAAAACTAAGACACTCCCCACATCTGAATTTTGGTGTGATCATTTACCGGCTACTTGACTTTGGTAGGGGTAGTTACCAGAAAGTGGGACTAATCATGGCCCCTCCCTCAAAGGATGCTAAAGACTAAGGATACCCTATGCAGAACTCACCATAATGGTTAACACACTGGGTGTGATTATCATTGCTGTGATGATGGTGATACTGATGATGAGGATGGTGCTGAGGTTTCTGTGGACAGGAAACATCCCTTTGACCTGGGGTGGTATAGCTTGGGGGAGCCTCAAGTCTAAACTCAAAGTATGTGTTTCATTATTTGCCACCTCATTCTATGTAGTGTTGGTTTTTAATTGAGCCAGTACTTTAAAGGCTTAGTAATTTTATGAAAAATTTGATTCTAGTTTTTTTAGGTCACATGAAAGGATCTGGTATCTGTGATTTCTCTTGTAACAGTGTTAATTGGAGCTCAGAACCCCTGTTTTGGAGTGCCTTAGTTCTATCTGAAAGTGTGTGCATATATACAACTTGTTGACTCATGTGCCTGCCTTAGAGTGCCTTAGTTCCACCTGAAAGTGTGTAAACATCTTGTTCACTCATGTGCATTAGAGTTGTGTCCATTTTAGGTTCTGCTTCCAGTTGTCACTTTCAATGTTGGGCCTTTCTGGGCCATCAATACACATTTGAGATCTATGTAAGGTCATCATCCCTCCATGAAATTACACATTAGAGTCTTCTGAGGGGGTTTTGGACTTTGTTGTTAAGAGCCCACTCTGCGGATCATCTGGTGCCAAGGAGCTGGCATTTTATAAAAGCTCCTCTGCTGACTTTAATGTGTATTCATGATTGAGACTAGGGAGTTTTCTATCTGGAAGACCATGACCTTCATAATAAACCCCATCTTCTGATTTGAAATCATGACTCATGATCTAAACAGTTGCAAAATCAAGGAAATTCTAATGCAGAAAAGGAAAAGGGAGTCTGACATTTTTGTTTGATCAAGGTACAGGTTGAACACTTCTAATTTGAAAATCTGAAACCTGAAATTCTTCAAAATTCATGGTTCCACAATTACAAAATCCACATCTGAGTTAAGTGTGTTAACTTAAGCTAAGTTATGGTAAAAATACTCAAGCATTAAAAATGCTGTATGAAATTACCTTTAGATTAAAGTATATAAATCATAAATGAATATCAGGTTTCAATGTGGGTCCTTTTCCACTCCCAATATCGTTTTATATATATTAAAATATTCTCAAATCTGAAAAAAAACCCAAAATTTGAAGCCCTTTCAGATGAGGGTTTCCCACACCCTGTTTCCTCCTTCCTTCCTTCCTTCCTTCATTCCCCCCCTCTCTCTTTCTTAAATACTGTCAATTCTGACAGTATTGGACTCTCAGTGTAGTATTGAGTCATATTAATCTGATAGCCAAAGAATAATCTACTTTGTTTACACTTACACAAAATATGTAGGCTGTGAGCTTTATTGATACTTGAGGGGAGTGGATAATTTAGGACTGTTGATAAATTTGAGAACTGTGTGAATGAAATGTTTTGACATGGTATGCAGATCATGTCAGAATGACCATTAGTCTGTGAACTTGGGCTTATAGCATCTTTTTGTTAATGAACTGGGGTTTAGGAAGTTGCTTGCTTTCTCTGAGTCTAGTGTTTTAGTTCTTGTTTACTGGCCCTAACCCTGGCAGTAGGAATGGCTGGCATGAGATGGTCCAAGTAAAGATAAAACTGGAAGAATTAATGAAGTCTGAATCTATATTACTTTAGATATTATTTGTGTAGCTGATTTTATTTCTGCCCCATGGAATTGTAAAACCTTAGCATTAGCAGGCCCTTTATGTAGTCTGTCTTCAGATTCTGATTTGGTCATTGCATGCCGAGAAAGAAACTGCTTCAAATGTGGTGACTTCCTTTTGAGTTCAGCATGGGGCCCCAAATTGAGCTGAAATAAATGATGATGTGAGCCACATAAACTGCAGCTCCAAGCATACTAGCTGCTTTTTCCTTTCAAAATATCCCTAGGCGCCCGTTCACATTATAAGCTAATGACCTGAAAAAATTCCTCTAAAGCACAAAGAGTTGTATGTACAAAAATATGTCTTAAATCAGTAATTGTCCTTTTCCCCCCTTGAAACATTTAAATACCTCCTAAAAGACCAAACAGTACTTAGGGACAGGGCTCAGAATTGAGTGATAGCCTGCATAGTTGATCCAGGCTAATATGCTAAGAAACTGGGTTGTTTTCTTAAGAGTTTCCATCTCCCTACCTTTTTTCTAGTCCCTTCCTTTGTCTCAGTATGTTTGGTTCTTTTGCATGAATCTTTCTGCTCACATGCATGGTCATCAGGCTGACTTAAGCACGTTTCCTCAGTAGGTTCAAATTCTCAAGTTCATTACTATGTCCGCTGATTGACTGTTCTATTTATGTTTATAATAATTATATGCCACAATGCTTATGGGATTCGTTTTCTTTAGAGGAGTGTTAAGAGGGTCAGTAATCCCATTAAACTTTTTTCTCTGGAAAAATTAAACTATGGGCTTTTTGAGAGAAATTCACATTATTGCTTCAGACCCCTGGAACGAAGCTGGAGACTCTTAATATCACACATAATTCTCACTACATTACACTGAAGTTGATTATATTTTGGAGGTTTCTTTTTTTTTTGCAACTCTAAATTTTAAACCATGATACATATTTGATTATAAATACAATGTTTTATCAAAATGTTTAGAGATATTAATTACTAGTTTTAAACAGACAAGTTATAATTAAATTCTCAATAGTGTCAATGTAAGAGGATAAATTAAGTTGGAAGATATGTGTTAGAAAATCAGCATGTGGTGTTTTGCTTTTCCCATTGTAGAGACAGTATATGTTGTTGACATTGTGGATAAAGATAAGTACTAAGTTTCAGTCCTCTGTATCTCTTAAGAAGTTTCTAGAATATTTAGGTGGAAGAGGCTTTTTTTTTTTTCTATTTGTTAAATTGTATCATTGTAAAGGTTTTGAAAATGTGAATTTTTTTTAAAAACAAATACTCATTCACTGATTTATTAAGTTGTTCTTTGTCTCCTTTGAGTCTAGGTATTGTTTTAGGTACTAATGCTTAAAAAATAGATAAGATTGTAGGGAGAGACCCTGATTAAAGGTACTGTGACCAAACGGGCATGGTGACAGGTGTTGGCTCAGCCTAGTGAGAGGGACCACATGCTGGCCTCCCTGGCTCTTGTAAACCCTGCTGCATACTTGTGACCACACACCAAATTGCTGCTCTCACACAGATTGTATAGTTAAGAAGGCAGTGGCTTAGAAATTGGCAGAGTCTTCCCAGATTCATCTTGTTAGGTATGGTAACCCTGGAGCAGTATGGTTGGGATGTGGTATATTCTCCCCAGGTTCATATGATACAGGCTTGGTCCTGGTTTGGAGGTATTGAGTTGGTGGAACTTTTAAGGAATGGGGCCTAGTGTAAGGTAATTAGGCTGATGGGAATGCTGACTTCAGAAGGGATTGTAGATTTTCTTTGGAGTGAGTGATTTCTAATTAATATAGGTGATTATAAGAAGAGCAACACTGGTCTCTCCCTGGTTCTTGGCTTCCTATCTTGACTTGGGTTTTCTCCCCCATCATGTTTTTACATGGTGTACATGGTGACATCTGCCATGAAGCCCTTACCAACTCATTGGCATTACCCTCAACAGATCCTGGTATTGTGTGCTTGAATTTTCAAAACGATGAGCTAAACAAACTGATTTTTATTAAAACATACAGTCCCAGGCATTTAAAAATAGCAACAGAACTTGGACTAACATAGAGCATTATACAGTAATCACACTAATCCTCAGTTTCCAGTGTTTACACTCATCTGTGTGTGCACTCATGTACAACCTACAGTCTTTGTTCTGATTTTGTACTTTAGGTAAAAGTATTATAGTTTCCTGTATTTCCTGCCATTCATCTCAAAGTAGTTTGGAAACTAAAATGGAAGGTTTTTCTAGACAGGATCTCATGTAGCCTGGGCTGGCCTCAAACTCACTGTGTAGCCAACTGTGACTTTGAACTTATGATCTTCTTGCCTTCTCCCCTGAGTGCTGGGATTTGTGGTTAGTGCTACCAGGAGACTGAAGAAAATCTACTGTCATTTTATGATTAACAACTCTTAAATTAATCTGTTCCCTAACTTTATTATTTCTTAAAATACCCAGGGCAGCTCCCCAAGGGGGTCTTTTTGCTCTACCTCTTTTAACCTGTTTAACTTTTATTAAGTAGAAACCAAAGATTTTTTTCTTTTGAGATCCTGATGGAAACTTTCATTTCTCATTTCTCTGTGTTTTTCTCATTTCATTTGCTTTGTTTTCTTCTTAGCATTTTATTTTTCTTGTAGTATATCTTCAGGAAAAAACATTGCACACTAGGT